CATGACAGCAACGTTGGAAACCATCAGGACCATCAAGGTTATATTTTTTCTCATCAGAGAATAAAACTTTCTTCCACCTTTCAGTGTCCCATCTTTGGTGCTCTCATGCAAAGAGAACAGAACAGTCAGCTCTGTGGCGTTCAAGGAGACGAGGCCTTTGAAGACGTTCTTCATTTTTGAAGGCCTTTAGTCTCAGATGCCGTCTGATGGTTATGGGGATGCAGTCGGCACCAGTAATGGCCTTAATTTGGGTCAAGGATTATCCAGTGTCTTGATGGATACCCAATTGGATCCTCCAGCTCAGTGCTGGTGAAATTATTTGGGGTCTTCCACTTTACTTTTTTGTTCCATAACCCTCAGGATCATTTAAGAAATTCCAAATGACTGTCTTACTGTGTCCCACCTCAGCAGCGATGTCGTGCTGAGAAAAACCCTGCTTATGCAGTTCAACAACCCGACCATGTTCAAAAAGGGAACTTTTTTTGCTTTTGCCATCAGAATGTCATGACAGTGTGACTACCTGACAGAAAATAACAATGAATCCACATATCTGCACAGTTTTGGCCTTTTAAACACATGTGATCTTAAACTTTTGATTAATAAAAAATAATAAAATAAAAAACAATGACTGAGCATGAATATCTCAGAAACTAAAGATTAAAATTTTCACTGGTCATTCTTACCATAGAGCAGAATCGAATCAGTATCTGTAATTTGGGGCATACTTAAAAAAGCTTGCAATTTCACAGCAATCATTATGTACTGTATATCTAAACTTTGGATCATAAAATTTTTACAGAACGGACAGAAATATCAGAGAAAGCACAAGACTAATGTCAAGGATCAGCTGCAGTACAAATAAAAACCTACAGTGAGCCAGAACCAACCACATCTTGTATTTGCCTATTTGCCTCCCTGTTCCTCACCCATGCTTTACAGTCTTCACTTCCCTCACCCCCTTTAACCCAGACACCCCCTGTGTAGCCTCGCCCCAAATCCTTTCTCTTTTCTAAATCTCCTTCCTACACAACCCAGACCCTTTCAATGCTGCCAATAATCAAACCAGCTCTCCTATAATAACCTTCAAATGTTTTTATATAATGCTCCAAAAACAGCAAATGTGCCATTTTCATGACATATTACTTATCATTATCCATAGATAGAGAGAATGCTTCCATGTGTCCACTGTGTTTTGTTTAAGCCTTCATATAAAAGTGATTTTATGCGTGAGCCAGAGTGTACATGGTATATCCACAGAATTAGTGTGTCAATCCCTAAATTAAGCCTCAGCACTGCAGGGGTTCACTCTTTATTTAGGTCATCAGATGGTTAAAAAGTCAAACCCCTCCAGATTGGTGCAAACTGAAAAAAAGACTGATTGCAGCTCCAACAACTGGTCTGTGTTGCCTAAATCCTGCATGGGCCCTCATATTCAGAGGTGGCCACCGACTTTTTGTTTGTTTGTTATGCAGGATTTGATAGCAGATTTTATGCTGAACTCCTTTTGTATGATTATCTTCTGCATCTGTATTAAAATGATCAGTAGTTGAGCACCAATAACCAGGACATATGCCTGTATGTGGAAAAAGGAGCTAGTTTTCAAGCCAAACTTCGTCTACATGGAACTTTACAATCATATTCTAAATACATGAACAGAAGCATCAATATATTACATTGTTCATGACAGAGTGATAGATGGGGTACATCCTGCACAAGGTGTCAGTTTATGACAAGACTACGATAGAGATATGTTGTTTTTACAGATTCTATTTCTGAATAGAATCTATTATTGAATTATTCCATGTATAAGGAGCATTGTAAGTGAGTGAAGTGTGGTGGTTTTCAAAAGCATTGCATGTATTTATTTTGATAATGAATCAGTCTGTTGATATTATTATTATTGTCTTGCATCCCCCCCCCAATAAAATTATGAATTATCTTGCATAAATAGGCTGTTGATTTTCTTTACTCATTTCAGTTATTACCAGCAAAATAGTTGCATGTTTAATCATCTGGGAATCAACCCAAAATTACTCATTTAATTAGACAGAGATCTTTGTCAATGCTGTGTTGGTGTATTGCAATCAGAAGCTGCCTTTTATCTGCTAACATCAAGTAGCTAGGTTAGAGAGCTGTATACCATAAACTGTGTGGACACGAGGCAGAGACACACAGACTTATGTTGCTGGAGCACTGGGTCACTGTGCTCACACCCCTAGATGATGCATGGTACATGGACTGGTATTTATATAGCAGTTTTCTACTCCAACTGAGCGCTCAAAGTGCTTTTTACTTCAAGTGACTGTGAGCAACTGTGGCTCAATATGTACAGCTTATTGTGTAGAGGTGGAGGAAATATAAAGAAAATCACCTTAAAACTGAACTAATATGAAAGATGAAACTTTTAGTGGGCTACAAATATGCTTTTCAAAGAGTATTGTATCATGGCAGCCTATGATCGCAGACCAACCCTTGGAGCCAGCCTCAAGTGGCACCTGGAGAAACTGAAGTTTTTGCCGCATTGGCACTGGCTTCATATTTCAGCTGCAAAGATTGGTTGTCATTGATGGTGACTTAGACCTCAAAGGAGGACCTTCAATTTAGAGTAACTAGATAACAGTACATGTCATTAAACTGCAGGAACTCCAACTGAATAGTTACTTAACAAATTCATTAAATAAAAGCTTTTATGATATTTGAATTCTGATAAAGTGTAAGAGAAGGGCTCGTTGCACAGTGGCAGGAAGAGCAACTTTAAGTGTCTTGTCATGTCTTTTACTTTTTAATGAGAGGATTTTGGGAATGGGACAAAATGACTAAAACTGTGCAAAAAGAAGTGAGATGGAAGAATGATACAGCAGAAAGGAAAGAGAGACTTGAGCGGATAGATGGTGTGACAGATTGAGTTTCGGTAAGGCAGGACCAGAGATGCTGATGATAGAAAGAGAGGAGGGGGGATGATGCACATAGACAGGGACATTACATAACACTTCATCAGAGCAGAAGAGGAAAAGGGAGGGTACTAGGAGGAGAGGCTGTCACGCAGACTGTGAATGAGAAGAAACCACTCCTCTATTCTGCAAGAACCTTGAGGCCATGCCCCCTGGTTTGACCCATCAGGAGTAACTACAGTCGAGAAAGGAAAACAGAAATGGATGAGTTCAGAACAGGTTTAAAGCTAGAACTTTTTACTTTTTCAAGGATGCCCTCCTGATAATCACTCAAAATTTTATTTGAACAAATAAAATTTGTTTTTTTGTTTTATTAATACAAGAACAGATCAAACTGGCACAGGTATTATTGATACGATACTAATCAGTATTTTATGTGTAATGATGATATTTTTGAATCAACAATGAATAATGAAAGAACTGCTATTATAAGCGTTCCTCTCAGCTCTTTTGGGGATAAAAAAAAATGTGTGTCTGCAAATGGATAAAAAAGTTCTTTGCAACCCACCTCTACCCCCAACATCACTTGCCATACTGTTTCTGACTTAATCAGTGTAACTGTATCTGTTGTCACTGATACCTGCTCTGTTTTGTGCAGGGTCTTGCTGTAGCTCTCTGGCTTTCAACATGTGAATGTGGAGCTATGCCACCAAACAAAAATTACTGGCAATTCTGGAACTAACTGAAGCAAGAATATGCCGATGTTCAATTACAGCAGCTATGAACATATCAAGTTCTTCATTTCATTTATTTTATTTCATCATTTCATAACAATAGATGAGATTATGAAGTAAGTAGTAAAAGATAGTGATTGGTGTCAGATGAATGGTGCCCCCAACTGTGATGAATATATTCATAAGAACAGTCAACAATAGGCGCTAACAAATCCTGGCTTAGGGGATCAGTTAGGTACATGTTGTTATCAATCATATACAAAGATTGGACATGATTATTAGTGTCTGAATTGAGTTAGACTGGTGGAAATACACAATTACTTTCTGCAAGGAGAGTTCTATAGGAACTTTGTTACTTTGATACTTTGCTTGTTGACCATTTTTGTGCTTGTTTATTGTAAACAATATGCGTTATTTAGAGATTACAAACAAACTGCACTGAATCAAATGGAAGGCATAATCCTAGATAATCCTATAGAAACCTCTGTGTCCCCCAGCAGCCACTCAGTCCTCTGGTTCGCTAGCAGCTCACACAATCATCTTAACAAATGTGAAAATATTAAAAGTTAAAGGACACAAGGCAGGCAAAGCTGATGGAAACTGCAGATCAAAAAGATAATTTCAAACATTTTATCATAGAATATATCATGTACCTGGGTAACCTGAGACTAGAATGTCCACTAGCAACCAACACTAGCTACAAAGTGAACTAGCCCTCTTTGTTAATGGGGTTGTCTGAGAAATAATATGACTTACTGCATGGTTCAGCCCATGCAGAAGGTTTGTGGTTCAGTTTTAATGAGTGAATATTAAATATTTTTATTCTTCATTATGGTCACTTATAGCACTAATATTAGACTTTAAATTGAGAATTTCAGAAACCAAATGTCCATTTATTTATAACACAAGATTTAGTTGTATGAAATTATAATTCATTTTCATATTTGGGATTGAAAAATACATCTTGTTGAAGAAAAAAAATGCATATTGAGCAAGTAGCTTACTTAAGAGACTTCTTTCATCACGTTAGAAATTACAGGACAAAAACATTCTCCCAGAACAACTTTTTATCGTCCCTTTCCCAGAAGGAGAGAAGCAAAATGCCCTCACACATAAAACAGCAACCAGAGCCCCTCAATGTGGAGACCAACGGTTGCATATTTTTCTCTAATTTGTCACCCACTGTACGTGTTTTCATATTAGCACGCTCCCCCTGAGATGTACGATTAAATCTCTAAATAATCAAGCCAAATCAAATAGCGCTGTCACCGGCGGTCCACAAAGGCGGCAGCTTCCCCTCCCGCATGCAGACTCTGAAGACTCCTCGTTTGACGCTCCAGGCTCCTGATTGGTCGAGCTGTTCGGGGGAAGGGGCGTGGCTTGCGTCTCAGTCCTGGCACCAGTTTGCTCTGCAAGCACCGAAAGGTGGAGAGATTTTCCCCATCACACACTCTTACTGTCAAACACACACGTTCAGCGAGAGACTCGGGACGCATCCACACGGTGAGTTTCACTGTTTTAACGTGATTCGGGACGTGTCATCGCGTTTTCTCTGCATCCTGGCGATGCGCCAGCCTCGCGTGGGCCTTTATAAATGAAATGTAATTGGTGCCATATTTATATTCAGGTCTGCAGGCTGCAGTGGCACGGATGCAGGCCTATATTTAGCTTATGATATGGCGGAATCATAGTCGGAGACATCGCTGTGCGCGGTGTTTCCCATCCCAATGGGGAGAGGATGGTGGGCGTGTGAGGAGGAGAAAGAGTCGGGGTGAGGGGGGTTCAGTGTCTCATGCAGAGGTCCGTGGATTCGTGTCTCTTTGTTATGGTGGTGCCGCAGAGTCGGGATGATACACCCCTCCTGCTGAAAAATCACTACAAAACAGATTCCTCCGATAGTCCTGCTTTGGCTCCTCATTAGTAAGCCAGGAGTAATTGTAGTGGTCTCAGTGCATTTAGCCAGCACCTCTGTCATTATAATATTCCTACATGGGACCGTAGTAGGTTTTACATGATGTTTATCTCTATAGTGAAACAGATGCATCTCCAGTACAGCGAAGGCCTTGTTATATAAAGAATAGAAGAGTATCTGATTTTTATACATAGTACCCCCCCAGTCGAGACACATGCACACTTACACGCACAGAGACACTCTGCATGCTGTGTGTGTGGATTAGAGCGCATTGTTTCGTCTATGCTCATTTTTTCTCCTCTAGGGCTCTTTCTGCCTTTTCTCTATCTCACATGTGAAACCGCATTGAGCTACAGGACTGTAGACTGTTTGTGGGAATACTATGGGAAAATGGTTGTCTCCATTCTGCACTCAAAGTAGAAATGGATTGAAGGTTCAAGTAAACGGTGCATATCTGCTCTGTGTGTGATAGCTGGAGCCAAAGAAGCTACATGATGCAATGCTGAGTAAAATCTCTAAAGCCGAAGAACGTGGCTGCCCCGTTACATAAAGTGGGCATCATCTGTAGCCTGGTACACGGTACAGAGCGTATGTCACTTTGACATGCTCAGTGTGTTTGGGGAGACAGACATCTGAAATAATGTACTCTCATTACACCAGTCAGACTCATCTGACACTGTATTTCAAAGTTGTTGTGTGTTTGTTTATAACTGACATTTCATTAAAAACAGATCGCTGTTTCTGTTTGATCAGTTATTTATTTGCTCTATAGATTGTGAAGATGCAGAAAATCGTAATGTTTAAAAAGGGGAAAAGACTTTGCCATTTGATTGATAGTCACCATGGTCACCAACTCATTTCCAGAGGTTTCTCATATCACTTTATTGTCATTTTGTTGCTGATTATAACAACAACAAACTCATACTACAATGTCATTGCTCCGCATTATCATCTTAAAATTATTGTATATAATATCGTTCAGGTATTTTAATATTGTGATATTGTATTTGACTTAAAAGAGGTTGATGGATCTTTCTTTTCTGTGTTCTGAGTTAAAGAGGTAATTAAGCAAAGTCACATTTGCCAGTATTAACATATAATAAATGGACTGGTTCTTAGAGAGCGCTTTTCTACTCTACTTGAGCACTCCAAGTGCCTTATACACCTTATTCACACAAGCACTTTTTTGGTGTCTAAGTGCTTTCTATCTAACTCTCTGATCAGTGTATTAGGGACAGGCCACTTGGGTTTCAGTATCTTGACCAAGGACACTTTGGCATGCAGACTGGAGCAGCCAGGCATCAAACTACCAACCTTCCAATTAGATGGCCTGTTCTACCTCCTGAGTCACAGCCACTCTTGTATGTAGTCGTAGTCTAAAAATGTAATCCCCGAGATCTAAATAGCCCTAAAGCTGACCCTTAACTACAGCATGTGATTTCTTATTACTAAGACTTGGAAGAATGATTATCAAAATTGTTCTTGGCAATCAGGAGAACCCCCCAAATATTCTAACTGACATACTTTAGGATTAAGTTTATGACAATGAGCAAAGACTGTCATTTAATCTGAAATGACTTAAAATGTCCAACTCACTGAATTGTGAGAACAGGCCGAGTACAATATTTGTATCCAAAACGACCAAAACTTCCAGTGGCTTATTAGTTAAACTGTTCTCATTCCAATGGTGTCATGTTTGGCTGTTTTGTCAAAGCCCCTGGTGTCTCACAGCCCCTGGTGTCTCACAGCCCCTGGTGTCTCACACATAGGCGTAAGATATCCTTTGATGATGGTATTATTGGATGCCAAAGGCGAATGCTAAAAACAGGACCAGGAGACTGCAGTTTGTATCTCTTCTCACTTCTTAGCTTTAGGCACCAACACTGCTTACTTAGATTTAGAAAAAGAACTCTATTTGGGCTAAAATAAACCCATTCAAAGTGTTAACTATGCATGCTAAAAAATAAATGATGCTAAAAGGATAGCCAGTCACCTCAAATTTGACAGTAAGAGACCTGAAGAGTGTATATGTGATGAGTTCAGATTAAAACTGAGCTCAGATATTCTAAATCTTTGCAAACAGGAAGTAATTTTTGTAGGTGAGAGTGCAGAGAACTAAACAGTCCAAGTAACTGCAGAGTAGCAAATCAGGAGAACATCCAGATTCCAGACCAGGTGCATGAAAATTCCAGATCATGAATATATAAATGAAAAAGGCATGTCAGTTCAACTCCTTTGACTCCTTGAATGTTTGAATCACAGAGATACTAAATGTAAAAAACATAAGGCCATTTTTTGCCTGAGACTGCTGGCACAGAAGCTAGATGGATTATCAGAGATGTTTTAATGCATGAGCGTTGTAATGATGATGATGCCATAATTTCTGCCTCAGGGATTGGTGGGATTACATCCAATCCCTCTCAAAGGGATCAACCAAGTAGCCCGGAAGTCAGCAGGCACCCAGCTAGGTATAGTTAACATTTTTGCATCATTTGTAAGGCAATAGGCTTTTCTAGGCTTTTCCACTAAACCAAGCAAACAATATCATTGTAGAGCTTGTCAAACCTTGACTACATATATAAGTCGTTTTACAGTGTAGCATTGACAGTAATAATCAGTTGTTAGCTGGAAATGTGTAAGCTCTGTTTTCATTCAGTAAGTCAACAAGTCAGCCAGGCAGAGCTAGTACTGTAGAGATACGATCTAATCATGTTGTAGTTTCTCCAGGCGATATCATAGGCCTGGCTTGTAAAATAAGATAAGATGACCTTTATTAGTCCCACAGGTGGGAAATTTGTTAAAATGTAAGAATTATGTAAAAAATGTAAGATTATGTAACAAAACATGGAGTTATCTCATAATGTTTGTGCCCAGCATGAAACCAGGCGATATGAAGAGTGATAGCATTCTGTAGCCATTAGGTTTTTCTGGAACTTTAAAGAAAATCTATGGACTACAAGATGAACTTCATTTGTTATCCAAAACTATGATGTTTCCTATTTTTTTCTGTTAAGTAAAGAGGAATGGAACAGTGGAAAAGATGACTAGATTACCAACAGTTAGTGGTCTACAAAAAAAGTAGTAACGGTTGTAAATAATATTGCTAATTATTAAAGTCCTACGGTCAGGAGGAGTCCTAGGTAAGGAGCTTCTGGAGTTAAGGAGTTTTCCTTTAACTCTGGGCTTCCGTACACCTCTATGGAGAATTTTACCCTATTGTAGCAATTTGTTTAGCTTTTCAGTTCAATTCAATTAAGTTTAATTTATGTAGTACCAAATCACAACAACAGTCATATCAAGTTGCTTTATATTTTAAGATAAGGACCCTACAATTTATAAAGAACAATCCCAATGATCAGACTGTGAGAAAGTACTTGGCGACAGCAGGAAGGTGAAACTCCCTTTCAACAGGAAGAAACCTTCGGCAGAACCAGGCTCAGGGAGGAGTAGCCGTCTGCCACAACTGGATGGGGGTGAGGGGAGGAAAACAGGACGAAAGACGTACCATAGAAGAGAGCCAGAGTTTAATAAGAGCTAATGATTAAATGCACAATGTGTAGTCCTTTCCAACTGATTGCTGTTCTATCTCTAAACACCCATGTTTCAAGGTGCACAAGGGATGTGTATTCACCAAAAACGTTTGGGTAACACAAACACCAACCAGCAGTCAAAATAAGCAACTAGCTGTTGAAAATAGTGTGAATACTAGCTGAAATGTCAGACCAAATAACATTAATAATAAGGATAAAATTACCGTAGCTAAATTATCAGATAATGAAACAGCTAATGAAAGATAATACTGCTTTTTGTATGCTGGCTTATAAGCCCTTGGTTTGTGTGACAAATTTGGGTTTACAGCTTGCTGCATTGCTTTTAAGTGACAACATAAGTCAAATAATGCAGCTGTGTTACTCACACATGGAAAATAAACTGTCTATTAAATTCCACAAACTTTCATCTTGACACGTTTCAAAACATTATGTTAAGACTAACTGTAAATCCACTGAAATGGAAATTGTGCTTGCAGTCTCACTCCTGCTTAGTGATGAATTCACAGTGAATTAACTTTTCATTAATTCTATATATTTATAAGTTTCCCCCCTCTGAATATTTTAATGTTATCCAGTCAACTTTTCACTTTGCTAATATATGGATCCTTAACGTGTTACACCAGTCACTTTGAGAATTCCTCTAAAGACTTTCAGCAAACTTCACTATACTTCATTTATTATTGAAACCAATTTTATTGCCAGATTGGGGACAAGGTTAACTTCCCTCAAACATTTATTATGTCTGATGAAATATATCAGTCACTGAAAGAAACATTATTGTTATGTAGTGTTTTAATCCTGCACACATGTTATCTGCTACTGGATTATGTGCTTTGATTGTACTGTTATCTTCAAATTATTTGGTTCATGTGAGGATTGGTGAGGAGGTGACCATGTTAAGCAGTATGAACATAGACCTGGTGCTGCTGCCTTATTTGTGGTTACCATAGTGATCTGCCTTGGTTAAAAGTGGATCACATTAAAGCACTTTTCCTGCTTTGTGAGACAGATCTTTTAAGAGAAATGTCATTGCTAAATCT